CACATTTGTGAGAGGAGCTGGGGCAGGGCTGTGTGTGCCGTGTGTCAGGGGGTCTGTGAGTGTGTACACGCTCACTAGAGGAGCCAGGGTGGGGCTGGGCGTGTCGGGGGGTCTGTGAGTGTGCACACGCTCGTGAGAGGAGCCGGGGCGGGGCTGGGTGTCCGGGGGGGGCGGGGGGTCTGTGAGTGTGTACACACTCGTGAGAGGAGCTGGGGCGGGGCTGGGCATGCCGTGTGTCGGGGGGGGGTCTGTGAGTGTGCACACTCTCACTAGAGAAGCCAGGGTGGGGCTGGGCGTGTCAGGGGGGTCTGTGAGTGTGCACACGCTCGTGAGAGGAGCCGGGGTGGGGCTGGGCGTGTCAGGGGGTCTGTGAGTGTGCACACACTCACTGGAGAAGCCAGGGTGGGGCTGGGCGTGCTGTGTTTCAGGGGGTGCAGGGTCTGTGACCCGCCCCCCCAGCCCTCGCTTCCCGTGGGACCCGCCCCCTTGGCTGAGTGCCCCACTGCCCCCGCCAGGCTGCCCGCGGCTCGGCAGGCTGGGCCGATAACCGGCGCTGATGTCTCTCTCTCTCTTGCTGCCCCGATGGAAGCGAAGTTTTCCGCTCCTGCAGAAAGCAAAGCTACGGTAGGACACCGCTCGGCCTCACCCCCCCGGGCCCCCACCCGCCCCCATGCTGCTCCCCCTCCTCCAGGCCACGCTGCTCCCTCCCCTGTTGCACGGCTGGCTCTCCTCTCTCCCTGCGCTTGGCTCTCCCCCCTGCTGCTGCTCTCTGCTCCCCCCAGCTCAGGCCCCCCCACTGGGGACGCTGGGGCTGACGGGGTCTGTCTGCTTCTGCCCACCCGTCCCAGGTGGGGCCTTGGCACTCGCCTTCTCCCGCCTCCCAGCACCGACCTGCATTAAGTGGGTTGGGGGTTCCCGGCCTGGGAGGCCTGAGTGGCGCTGCCCACCCAGCCTGTGCCCTCACCGCCTGCTTCTGTCCGGCTCCAGACTCGGAGACAGGCGAGGACGACGCCAGCGACCCCCAGGGGACGCAGCGCAGTGAGCTCCAGGACGAGACGCCTTTCAGCTCCCCCACAGGTGAGTGGGAGCCGGCCGGGGGGCTCGAGGTAGCTCTGCAGGGGCTGTGAGTGGGGTGGGGGCTGTGGCCAGTCCTGGCTCCAGTAGGGCGGGGGGGTAACAATGCTGGTTCTGGCGGGACCCAACTGAGAGTCAATTCAGGACAAATTGCTCAGAGCAGGGTAGTTACAGCCCCAGGCTGGGGTCCTTAGCACACCCAGGCACCAAACCAGCCCAACAGAGAGGACTTTGGTCTCACCCCACTGGCTAACCACAAGTCACACAAGCAATTCCCTTAGACACTCCAGTTTCCCAGTATCACCGCCAGTGCCACTCGTTATGGGGATGAATGGTTATGAAAACCAATACCCCAGTAAAAGAAAAAGGTTCTCCTGATCCCAAAGGGCCAAGCCCCAGACCCAGGTCAATATACAAATCAGATCTTACCCACAAATCACGCTGTTGCCAATCCTTTAGCATCTAAAATCTAAAGGTTTATTCACAAAAGGAAGAAGATAGAGATGAGAGTTAGAATTGGTTAAATGGAATCAATTACATACAGTGATGGCAAAGTTCTTGGTTCAGGCTTGCAGCAGCAGGGCCGCCCAGAGGATTCAGGGGGCCTGGGGTCTTCGGCGGCGGGGGGGCCCCCGCCGCTGAATTGCAGCCGAAGACCCGGAGCGGAAGACGCTCTGGGGGCCCGGGCCCCACGAGAGTTTTCCGGGACCCCCGGAGCGAGTGAAGGACCCCGCTCCAGGGGCCCCAAAAAACTCTCATGGGGGCCCCTGTGGGGCACGGGTCCTGGGGCAAATTGCCCCACTTGCCCCCCCCCCGGGCAGCCCTGTGTAGAGGTGATGGAATAAACTGCAGGTTCAGATCAAGTCTCTGGAACATCCCCAGCTGGGATGAGTCATTCAGTCCTTTGTTCAGAGCTTCAGTTTGTAGCAAAGTCCCTCCAGAGGTAAGAAGCAGGATTGAAGACAAGATGGAGAAGATGCAGCTGCCTTTTATAGTCTCTTGCCATGCAGCCTGTGCTTCCTTTGTTCCAAACACAAGCTACCCAGCACGTGGCATGAAAAAACCTTACAGTTCTGTCCATAGGCCTGTCCCTGCCTTGCTGAGTCACAGGGTGTATCTGCCTTCTCTCAATGGGTCAGTTGTGTAGCTGATGGTCCTTAATGGAGGTCCTTAGACACCTTATTTGACCCCCTTCGTACCAGATTTGGTGCCACTACGGGACCTTGGTTGCAACAATGATCAATACCGTCCCAGTTTATATTAATAACGTCACAGGGGGTGTCCTGGCCAGTCCTGGCTGCAGTCGGGGCGGGGGCCTGGCCGGTGGCAGCGGACAGGGGCTCTGGCCGGACCCCTCCAGGCGCTGCCTGCCAGTTCACCCCTCTCTCCTCTGCGCAGGGGAGTCGAACACGCTGGTGGACACCTCCATGACCACGTCGGCGCCGGGCCTGTCGCAGGTGGAGGAGCGCTCCAGCTGGTCGGGCAGCCAGCAGACCGTGGTGGAGAAGGAGACGGAGCCCGGCCTCCCAGTGAGGGGGCCCTACCTGCGCCCCGGTGGCTGGCAGCCGCAGGGGACCCCAAGGCAAGCACACGCGCAGGCCCCCCGCGGCGCCGAGGTCAGGCACCTGGGGGTGGAGCCGCTGCTACGGGCGTCGCGTGCTATTCTGGTGGGCACAAGCTGGGGGTCGGAGGATAGCCTCTCGGTGGCCAGCGACCCCTACGGCAGCGCCTTCAGTCTGTACAGAGGACGGGCGCTCTCGATCCACGTGTAAGTAGCTGGGGGAGGCTGCGGAGGGGGCATCGTGTTGGGCCATCTCCTCCCGACCCCCGCAGCCATCTTAGCCCTCAGCCTGGGGTCTTTCTTTGCCTCCTTTATCCCTGTGGGAGGACCGGGGCCTCTGAGCACGGCAGGCCCTGCCTGGGGGCTGGGGAGAGGGTTGGGGGCCGGGCTGTGCACCGGGCAGCGGGAGCTAGGGTGGAGCTGCTCTGGGGTGGAGCCCGGCTAAAGAGCCCTGGTTCCTGGGCCGTGGGTGGCAGGGCCTGGCAGGCAGTGTCACGCTCCCTGCCCCCTCCCCATTCCCTGTGCCCACCCCCCAGCTCTGCTGACTCCAGCACGGGGACAAAGCCACTGCCCTCCTAGCACCGCAGCCCCACTCTGCGAGCTGCTCTCCAGTCCCCCCAGCCCCACGGCCGCCCTGCTCCCCGGCTGGCTCCCGCTGTCCGAGAGCAGCCTCTTGGCCTGTTAAACCCAGGGTTGTGAGTTCAATCCTTGAGGGGGCCATTTAGGGATCTGGGGCAAAAATCTGTCTGGGATTGGTCCTGCTCAGATACCTCCTGAGGTCCCTTCCAACCCTGATGTTCTATGTATGGACCCTGGCTGGGATCCACGGGCAGGGCCCTCCTGGCCCTGGGGACACTCCTTCCAGCCCCGCTGCGGCCCCTGCCAGGCTGCTGGGACCTGCCTGGCCCGGGGGCGGGGGAGTGGGGGGGAGTGCTGGCTGCTGTGCTCAGGGGCCCCATCCCGCCCGCTCCTGCCACCTCCATCTCGCTGTCTTGTGTTCGAGGCTCCCCCAGGTTATCATCTTCATCGCTCCGCTTCCCACCCCCGCGGACCCCAGCCCGCCTCGCCCCCCGCCCGCGGGCACAGCCAGTTCATCCCCACACGTCCAAGGGGCTCGGGGGTCCGTGGGCATCCCGCTGAGACCGTGTGTGTCTGTGTGTGCCCACATGTGAATGTGTGTGTGTGCGCATGCCCACGTGTATGTGTGTCTGTTTGTGTGTGCATGTGTGTGCATGTGTGTGTGAGCATGCCCGTGTGTGTGTGTGTCTGGGTGTGCCCATGTGTGTGTGCACGTGTGTATGAGTGTGCCCACGTGTGCATGTATGTGTGTGTGAGCATGTGTGTGTGTCTGGGTGTGCCCACATGTGTGCACATGTGTGTGAGCATGCCCGTGTGTGTGTGTGTGAGCATGCCCATGAGTGTGTGCGTGCACTTGCCCACATGTGTGTCTGTGTGTGCACGCGGCTGGGTGTGTGATCATGTGTGTGTGAGCATGCCAACATGTGCGTGTGAGGGTGTCCATGAGTGTGTGCATGCACGTGTCCACGTGTGTGTGTGTGTGTGTGTGTGTCTGGGTGTGCCCACATCTGTGTGCACGTGTCCATGAGTGTGTGCATGCGCGTGTCCACATGTGCTTGTGTCTGGGTGTGTCCACGTCTGTGTGCACGTGTGTGTGAGTGTGCCCACATGTGTGTGCATGTGTGTGTGTGTGTGAGCGTGTCCGTGTGTGTGTGTATGGGTGTGCCCACGTGAGTGTACATGTGTGTGTGAGCGTGCCCACATGTGCGTGTATGTGTGTGTGTGAGCGTGTCTCTGGGTGTGCCCACATGTGTGTGCACGTGTGTGTGAGAGCGTGCCCACCTGTGCATGTGTGTGTGTGTGTCCGTGTGTGTGTGTATGGGTGTGCCCACGTGAGTGCACATGTGTGTGTGTATGGGTGTGCCCACACGTGTGCACGTGTGTGTGTGAGCGTGCCCACATGTGCGTGTATGTGTGCATGCCCATGAGTGTGTGGGTGCGCATGCCCGTGCGTGCGTGTGGCTGGGTGTGACCTGGGGCTGGGGAGATTTGCCTGAGTGCTGCGGCAGCGGGGGGTGAATTCCCCTCCCCCCGTCGCTGGTCCTGCCCAGGGCCGTTGAACCGAGTAACCCGACTGCCATAGTTCGCCCGAGCCTGCTCCCCGGTCGTGGGCGCCGCAGCCCCCCAGCAGGGCTCCAGCTCTAGCTACCCCCAGCTGCCTTGGCCGTGCCAGGCCCCGGGGGCTGCCGCCCAGCGAGCCCCAGGAGGTCCTGGTCTCACTGGCACCCACATCCGTACCAGCCCGGCCGTGACGCTTCCAGCTGGTCGGGCTCCCCCAGAGCCCAGGCTGTGCCCGCTCCGGAGCCAGGGAGAGTGCAGGCCCAGGTGCCCCCGGACCACACCAGGCATGGTAAGACCACAGCACCCCTGGCTTGCTGGGCACCGCCCGGGTGGTATCGCAGTGGGACAGCTCGTCCCCCTGGTGCCAGCCTCCGTCCCGGGCGCCAGATCTCAGATGGGCTTTAGACGGGGGGGCCAGGACCGCGGCCCAGAGACGGAGACGCCCCATTAGCTCCTCCAGCCCCTCTCCCAGGGCAGGGCAGGGCAGGGCTGGCTGTCCCAGGCCGGTTCTGGTTCCCTCGGGGAGTGGGGGAATGGGGGACATTCCCAGACGGATCTCCCCCACCCCCCGTCTTTCTGAAGTTTATCCAGCCTCGCTCCAGCTCCTGTGCCACGCCGATAGCCCCCTCCCCGGGGTCGCCTGCGTTCACATCCCGTCCCTGCCCTGGGCAGACCAGCTCTGCTGCCCTCGGGGGGCAGGGCTGCATGCCAGGCTGGCTCTGACACCCCCCTCTTTCCCTTCTGCCTGCAGCAGCATCCCCCAGGGCGGGTACAGAAGAGACGACCCCTCGGAGCTCTCTCCGAAGCCTGGTGCAGACCCCCCAAGGCCTCCAGCTCAGCCCCTGGCCTCCAAGCCACCCGTTCTCTGCCTGCCGTCTCCCAGGGTGGGCCAGTGCCCGGCCCAGCCGGCCAGCCGAGGTCCTGGCGTCCCCTCCCCCACGCCCCTGACGCCCCGCAAGACGGCCCTGATGCCGGCGGAGTACCAGGACACGGTCCCCGAGGAGTACGAGGCGAAGGTCCGGAAGCCCAAGTCTCTGGGGTACTCGCAGGCCAGCACGCTGGAGTCCCGGCCCCAGACCCCGCTGAGCGAGACCTCCAGCCGGGTGTCCGTGCTGCGGCCCTCGCCCAAGCTGGCGCGCTCCGGCTCCAAGATCTTCGAGAAGCTGAAGTACTTCGAGGAGCGCCGGAGGAGCCTGGAGCAGAGCGACAGCCCCCTCCCCGTCCACGCCTGGCTGCCCCTGCGCAAGACGCGCTCCTTCGACCAGCCCGACCTGGGCCAGCGCCCGCTCACGCCGGACGGCTCCCGGGAGGAGCTGCGGGACGGGGTGCGGTCAGAGATGGGCGGCCCGACATGCCGGCGCCAGGCCTTCCGCCACAAGGCCGCCTCGTTCGACGAGCGGGGCCACTTCGCCAGCCGGGTCGGCGACATCGAGCACAGGTTCTCCGAGGAGCTGAGCCGTATCAAGAAGACCGTCTCCAAGCAGCAGCTGATGAGGTCGCAGGAGCTGGCAAAGGCCCCCTCACCCCGGGACCCCAGCCAGCTCTCTGCCCCCCGGGCGCTGGAGGCACAAGCCACCCCGGCCCCGAAAGACCAGGGGCTCAAGGCCCCGCCGCCTGTGGAGAACGCGCACGGCACCCAGCAGCTGGCCCTGGCCAGCGTGGGGCTGGGGGGGCCCGGAGACGGGGCGGAGCGGGCAGCCACGCGGAAGCCACTGCTCCGGAGCTGCGCCCTGACCAGCCAGCCCCGGGAGGAGGCCAGAGCCAGGAGGAGTGGGGAGCCGGAAGGTGCTGAGGGCAAGAGGAAGGTGGAGCAGTGCCCCTTATCGCAGGCCACTCCGCTGGGGCGGGGGGACCTGCCGGAGGCCGGGCCCCCCGAAGGAGTCGCATGCCTGGATGGGGGCCCGACGGTCGGGGCGAGAGCGAGCCGCGATGGCAGGGCCCCCGGGGCTGGGAGCGAAGCTCTGACCACCAGGCCAGCAGGCCAGCACGGGCCGCATAGGAGGCGGGCCGCGGGCCAGGAGGTGCGGTTCTTACCCTGGGCCAAGCCCGGGCCGGAGCTCGGAGCTGGCCTGGAGGGGGCCAGGGCAGGGCCGCGTGGCACAGGCAGGGATGCCGAGCAAAGACAGCTGAAGGTCACAGAGAAGAAGGAAGGTGCCCGGCTGGCTCAGGAAGGGAGAAGCATCCGGAGCAAGGGGAAAGGCCGCCGGCCCCGGCCCACCTCGCCAGAGCTAGGTAGGGGCAGCCGCTGTCCTCCCCGCGGGCGGGTGGGGGCCGCCAGTACCCACACACAGGGCCCAGCCAGCCCCCCTCGGTCCCGTACAGCCAGGAGCCCCCCAAAGAGCCGAGCGCTTTGGGGTCAGAGCTGGGGGCAGGAGACCTGTGTTCAGTTCCCACCGACTCCTTGGACAAGTCCTTCAGGCAGAGGGGCTGACTGCTTGGGCTGCCCCATGGGCCCTGCCAGGGCCGGGGTGGGCGTGGGGTCGGGGGTTCCCCGTCTGTGCCATCCGGAGAGGCCAACAACAGTATCAGACACCCCAGCCTGAGCCTTCTCCCCAGGCCTGTGGCCAGAGCGCCCTGCCGTGCCCCTCCCTAGCAGAGTGGGGCGGGCACCAATGCACCCTGCTGCCCCTGCCGGGGAGCGTTACCAGTGAGGGGGGGCACGTACGTTCAGGCTGGGTCTGGGCAGCACCCGGGACGAGGGGCCCTGGCCCCGGAATGGGGGTGGGGGGTTCCCCTCCTGAGCTCGGCCAGTGCAGACGTTGCGTTTGGGGCTGGGCACACCGTGCTCTGCCCTGCCCCGATGGCGGGACCCCGGGGGCTTTGGGAACGTTATTTACCGTTGTGCTCTGAGCGGGCGGAGCAGAGGAGGGCTGGGGGCTCGGCTCACTGGGGTGGGTGCGGGCATCCGGAGGAGGGAGTGGACAGCCCCAGGGAACAGGGGAGCGGGACGTGAGCTGCAATGCCAGGAGCGTCGGCAGGGGCGCGCGTGAGGTGGGGGTTCAGAGCCAGGGCGGGAATCAGGCAGGGATCAGGGGTGCGGGGCCCGGCGGGATGGGATGGGAGCTGTGCCAGGAGGGGCTGGCTCCCCGGGGCATGGACAGGAGGGGATCTCTGGGTCCGGAGTCTCTGGCTAAGGACCCTCCCCAGAAAGGAGTCACGGGATGGGCATGGGGAGCCCTGTGGGTCACTGCAAAGACTGAGACTCACCAGGGCTAGGACCCCCCGAAGCCCGGCCTGTCAGGGCCCATGCCCTGGCTTCCCCGAGCAGGTGTCGGTCCCTTGCTCTGCCCTGCCTGGGCTCCATGGCACCCGGAACCCAGTTCTCCTGCCCCTTTGACAGCCCAGCATGCGCCTCTGCTCCATGGCAACGCCCCGCTCCCTGCTGGGGGGGGGGCGGACGCAGAAGCCCCTTGTCCCCCTTCCGTCCCAGCACATCAGCCGTGCCCAGCTGCCAGCCACGGGCCCACTTGCAGGCTGAGCTCCCGTCTTGAGCGCTTGGCAGCGTGGCTAGTTCCTGGCTTGGCAGGTCTCCTTCGCTCTGCCCGGTGCCCGGCACCGAAAGGCCAGACAGCTCTGAATGGGGACTGAGCCCAGGCACGCCATGTCCTGGGCAGCAATGAAAGCCACCTCCCCAAGGGCCAGTGGGCACCTGCTGTGCCCAGAGCTGCCTCCTGCGGCCTTCCTCGCGTTGGTTCGGGGCCCTGCATGCTGGGCACACGGATCACCCCCCCCAGGGCTGGCACCGCGGCACAAGGCCCTCCCTGGCCAGCGCATGAGCTGAGCACGCCCACTGGGCTTTGCACGACCCTGAAGCCTTCCTGGCCGGGCACAGTATTTTGCAGCCCTGAGCCCAAGCCAGCCCCTGGACTCCTGGCTAGAGAGGGCACAGTTTGCTCCAGCACCTCCCCAGCTGCACACTGAACCCCCAGGAGGCCCTGCTGTGGGGAGTGTGGGGCAGATCCCTTGGGAACCCCCCTGCCCTGCACGGGGGCCGGGAGTGGCCTGGTCACGCTGCCGGGCTGAGAAGCCAACGCAGCTCCCAGCGGGTGCGGCAGGGGGCCAGTCCCTGAGGCCGACTCGCCCATGAGTGCCCAGACGCCCGCTCCGTCACCTCTCCAGCTCCCTTTTCTCTTCTGAGCTGCCCCCGGGCGGTGCCAGGAGCTCGGGAACGCTGCCCTTCGCGCCCGCTCGTTGGGACGGGCGGAGAAAGGCCCGCGTGCCAGGCGGGGAACGTAACTGCGCTGAGGCCCTGGCGCAAGGCCCTGGCTCTGGGCGGTGCCCTGCTCTAGGCCGCGGAATAGCCCCAGGCCCTGCCCGCAGGCTGGGGGGCTGGAGGTGCTGGGGCAGCACAGGGCTGCATTGCTCTGCAGCAAAGGGAGCCGGCCAGCGAGCCGTGGGGGTTCCCGGGGGAGCTTGTCCGACGCGCGTGGGCCCAGACCCGGGGGAACCACCCCCCTGCCCGCCCCCCCCAGGCACACCCAGCCCCCCCAGCTGGGATTCACTGCGCTGAAGTGAGCAGCCCCCGTCACCAGGGGGCGCTCTCCCTGCTGCCTCTCTCTATGGCCCTTTCCTGCTGCAGGGACCCTGCTGCGGCTGCTCTTCGTGCCCTGCTCTATGGCTCCCTAAGGCCATTGTCCCTTGCATGGGGCGCCCTCTTGGGGCTGGCTCAGGAACTGCCTGCCCATAAACCTGGCTGCTGCTAGCGGGGGGTTAGTGGGGGCACCCAGAGGGGGCGTCTCCCTGGCAGCGGGAAGCCTTGTGGGTTTGGCTGGGGGCGCCTGGTGCCATCCCCTCCTCTCCTGCAGGCGGGACCTGCTAGCTAGCTAGTCCGTGTGCCCGACGCCCCCCC